CAGTGGACGTTCATCAACCTCCCGAATCGACGAAAATGTGATTCGTGTGCGTGACTGTGTGAATTCTGACCGACGGTTGAGCCTTCAACTGTCTTGAACCTTGAGGCTTGTCGCACAGTTCAGTTTCACACATGTCAGTTTCGCACAGTTCACTTTCGCACAGTTCAGTTTCGCATAGTTCAGTGTCATTGCAGATGTAACAGATTCAAGGTGAAGTAATCAAGAATTAGAAAAACAAAGTAAGTGAAATCAACTATTTTGTAAAGCAGAATATTCTTGTGTGCATCTACACTGAATTATGCGAAAGTGAAACGTGCGAAAGTGAAATGTGCGAAACTGAACTGTGCGAAACTGAACTGTGCGACACTGAACTGTGCGACACTGAACTGTGCGTAAAAGAACTGTTCAATTGAACAAACGCTGATTTAGAAAGATTTATTATTTATAAATTAGCAAAATTTCCAAACAGGGCTCTACATGCATACGCGTGTGTCTGTGTTTTAAATTATATTTCGACCTGTGTCCAAAAGCAACGGTGTCCAATTGTACGGTGCGCACAAGAACTGTGTCCAAATGAACGGTGTGCAAAAGAACTGTGCGCAAAAGAACTGTGCGCAACATTATGTGCCCAATAGCACTGTGTGCAATTGCATCGTGTCCAATTGTACTGTGCGCAATTGAGCCTCTCCCGTTCAGCCAGCGTGAAGGCCTTATTCGCCACGCGCTCAGTTGAATACTTTATCCTTTTCAATAATTATCCTTTATAATAATTATCCGAGTGTTCAGCCAGCGTGAAGGCCTTATTCGCCACGCGCCCAGTAGAACATCTCTCCATTTTCCATCTTTCGGTGCTTTAGCGCGCAACACTCAGAGCACTAATCCGTGTCCATCTCGGTAGATGGGCTGGGGAAAGCACCGTACCGGCAAGAAACACCGAGAGCGTCTCCAGGCCCATTTGGCTGCCCAACGACCAGCGGCCCGCTCAATCCGCCCGGGAGTTTTCCTGTCTCCATCTGCCTTGGCACAGCTACGCCAGGTCAGGATTCAGTTGGAACGTCTCAGGCTCGAACGGTTCCTGCGCCAGCCAAACCCATCGCGGGACCTTCGTCTGCCCCCCAGGCCCCTGTTGCAGAGACCCCCTCGTCGGTTCCCTCCCCAGCGACCTCGTCGGCCCCCCAGCCTTCGGACGACGACGACTGCAAGGTCGTTTTCGCCCGACCCGCAACCTCCTACACCCAAGGAGTCTCAGTCCGATTCGAGTCTATCTTGCGACGATACTACATCGCAGTAGGAGCCTGTTGTGCGTTGGCCGTAACCCAGCGCCAGGCCCTTAGCGTGGCCCGAGAACGCGGCGAGCCCCCGACGTCAGTAGCGGACACTCTGTCCGCATTTGTGCAGAGTGAGGCCAACGCGGTGGCGAAGGAATTAAAGAAGCCTTCGCTGCAATTCTTTATTACCCCCCGATATATATATATATATATATATATATATCTATATTCTGTGTATAATGTTCAATTTTATATGATACTATATACCTTTTAATTGTCTAAATTCTATCTAAACTAATATACCCCTAGTCTAATTATTCCCATAACCTCGTCTGCGTTTTATAGCATTGGTTAATCTTTAACGTCAGCTTTTATAATCATTTGTCTAATTTTTCATGTCATCTTTACAAGCATTACCTTTATATAATCTTTTATAATCATTTCCCTTGGTCAACATTTTAATAACTCACGTTATCTTTTATAATCATTCTTCGGTGCCCAGTCTTTACTAATTCATATTATCATTTGTAAATCATTACAAATTCTTACTATTAAACCTTATACCTCCCTTTTGCGTAATCATTAATAATACTCTACTTACGGCTTTGTTTAGTCTGTACTTATATGTGATAATAAATCATACATACCTTTGGTCGCCTTTATTTACCCTTCCGCATAAAAGAGACAGCTCCCGCCACCCGGGTAAAGTCGGCTTGGCAGATTGAACCAAAAGAAAGGGGAGCAACTCCTGGAACGTTCCGAGGAAACGTTATCAGAAGAACAACAAACGTAACGTCTCGGGAAAAGGAGCAATAATTAACATCACCGTTTTGCAAAAACCCGGACGTGACACTTCCATTTCCTCAGTATGTGCTTCGAAGGTAGTAGTTTGTACATCAGGAATTAGAAGCAAATTTCTGACTGCATTAGGTAAAGATAATTACACAGGCACACGAAAAAAAGGTCTTGTCCACCAGACGAGATAAACATTTCTATACGTTTTTGGGGTCGCTGAATCCGAATCCGGGGTTGGTTTGACTCGGTCAGGTCGCATTTCGTTCCTAACCTCAAAAAAATGATGAAAGTAGGAACTTTCATGAAAACACCCAGAAAGCAAAGCGATTATATGTTTTCAGGGTCGCTGAGTCCATATTTGAAGGTCATTTGACTCGGTGAGGTCGCATTCCATTCATAACCTTAAAAAAATGAAATAAAACACTGAAAACTGTTCTCGACATAAATTGTTTGTATTCAGCGCCCGGTACATAGAATTTGTTAGTCATTCTTCGAGCATGGCTGTCAGTCTGCAGCACAAAATCCTGCTGCCTTGACAGATACTGTGACGATGACAACTGCCCCGAAAGGGGATGTGTAGAATGATTCGTTCTCAGATTTGTTGAGGTAACGAAGCCAGCGAAGGCGCGCTGCCTTGCAGGTGGGCGTGAGGGTGTGAGGATGAAGCCGTAGTGTGTCCGACGACGAGTTGACATAGTCCTCGTTAAAATCGGAAAGCTCTTATACTTAGGCCTAGGGAGGTATGAGAGTTATCACCCCTAGGACGGTAGACTCACCTGCGGTCGGACCAGGATCCCTCACGCGCGGGTTTTTCCCAACACATATGGCACCTTCAAACAAAAAATTTCGGT